TTAAAGCTAATTGAAATAGTTAGTTGAAATAGAGAGCGTTGTTGGAGTNATTTGTGAATTGTGGTTCAATTAATTAAAGCTAATTGAAATAGTTAGTTGAAATAGTTAGTTGAATTAGTAGTAATTGTTCTCTAAAATAGATAATGTAATAAAAATATATATTTTGAGTAGTTATTTTAGCTAGTATCGTTGGCGCTGCCCTTATGTCATCAAGAACGCTCTATTTTATTACATAGATAAATAATATACCTGTGATTGATTACTAACAGACTAAGGCATCAGTTTTCAACAATAGAAATTTCAAATAATGGTGTTGCATATTATGTAACTACTACTATTTATATTTTGGCTGAGGGAATGATGCCAAGGAATTTAAAATGGAAGGGGATTCAAGGGTGATAATGAATACAATATTATTCATCATGCTTTGTGCATTGGAGTCTATATGCAACACTATTGAAGAGCTTAACTTAAGTTGCAAATATGTAAAGACATACATTTTGATCACATGTATAGGAATAACGTTATCAGAACCGGATGGGTCATCGAACCGGCAAAGGAACCGAATCAATGGTTCGCTATTCAGCCGTCGAGTCAACTGGTCGGCCCGGTCATATAATAAAATAAANAGCTTAACTTAAGTTGCAAATATGTAAAGACATACATTTTGATCACATGTATAGGAATAACGTTATCAGAACCGGATTGGTCATCGAACCGGCAAAGGAACCGAATCAATGGTTCGCTATTCAGCCGTCGAGTCAACTGGTCGGTCCGGTCATATAATAAAAAATAATAATTTATATGTATGTATTATAAAACATAATAATTTAGCCAAAAAATATAAAATGTGCCTAAAATGCATAGAATTTGCCATAAAATTAATGAAGTTAAGTAAAAGAAAAAATCCACAATGACAACAAAAATTCCAATTCACAATCCCACAATCTCAATTCATAAAATCCACAAACAGACAATAATAGCACATTAACATCAATAATAGACCATTTCAATTGCATCAACCTATGTCAACTCAGTCCACATAATTCACTGATGCATCAACCTAATACTTCTGAGGTAACATAACAAACTAGCTACCATGATGCATTTTTATTGTAAACCCACTCCATTTTGTTTTTTATTTTTTTTGTCATTAATCAATACTTTTTGTTTTATTGGAAGATTTGCAACAGGATCTGAAGATTAATTTTAGGAAAATTAAAGGACACCTCCTGGAGAAAGGAGAAAGGAGAAAGGAGAAAGGAGGAGAGGACAGCCATTTTACCTTAACGATCTGGAGCGGACGCCTGTGTTGTCACCTCCTTTAGCTGTTGTTCGTCGTCGGAGAGGTCACCTGAGTTGTCGCCTCCGCCTGAGTGTGGCGCAGAGCAGTAATCGCCTGAGTTGTCGCCTTCGCCTGAGTATCGCACAGAGTAGTGTCGCTGGAGAGAGAAGAAGCTGCCTCCCTGTCGCTTTGTCGCGCAGAGCAGTGTTTCCATATTTGTTGCCTCCCTGTCGCTGGAGAGAGAAGCTGCTGCCTTCTATTTCTGCGAGATTTATGGCAAAATCAAAAAAATAGCCCAAATAAAAATTGAACTGTTCAATTTTATTTTTTTTAGTTTTATTGATTTCAAACCGTCTGGTTTTAAAAAAACCTTCCAGTTCACTGTTTTCTCCAAAAAAACCAGCCAGTTTGGCAATTTTCATCCGGTTCCCATCCTTATCCGGTTTAATAGTCAATAACACTGTATAGGAAGCTAACAAAACAGCAGACAAAGCACAGGGTTACACTTCAAAAGAGGGTGACAATAGTCCTTTTATAGCCTGGTTATCAGTCTGTATGATGTTCAATTTAACTTATTTCCCTTCTGTAACAGCTAAAACATGTTTTAAAATCGTGAGCCCACGGACAAAGCAAACGTGTAGAGTGGCAAAATTGCTTATTACATAAATGTGTATAGATAACTCTAAACATATACAAGAGTAGCAAAATTGCACGAAGAACAAGAAGATAGTAAAACAAATATTGGTTATTACATGTATATGAGAAAACTTGAGGGTTCAAGTTGTACCATCTTTATGCATACGGGTGGATGAAGCATCGACAAATACACAATATTGTTGTAGTGATAAGCATGTCTCACCTTCCTTCTCCAATGATTTCATGCAGCATTGCCTCAGTCAAATTAATTGGAGAGGGCACTGCGTTAGTGTTCGGATCGGATGGATTATCAACCTTATTGTCTAGTAGGGGGCTACTACTATTGGATGGAGCTGATGATGGACTTTCTCCATCCAAAAAGCTATCGGTTATATCTTTGAAATCCCAATCTGTCAAATAACTTGGCTTTGTTGTAGTGGTGCTCACTTCAATGTCTCCAGCAAGCATAGCAATGACACGGGACATGGGTGGCCTCATCACTGGTGATGCTTGAGTACACAAAAGGGCCACTCCTATCAACCGAATGGCTTCATTTTCGTCAAACACTTCCAGAGTTGGATCCACAAGATCCAGACTTTGGTTGTTTTCGTGTAGATTCCAAGCCTGAAAAAATCATTTAGGTAAGTGTATAGGAAAGAAATTGCCTCTTTAACCATGGTATCCATGGAAAACTCCTTCCATTTAATATTTTCTAGTAAGTAAATAATAATTCTCTTGCCATACCCATTCAAGAAGATATTTTCTTTTGCTGTCCAAGCTATGATCAGAGTTGGGTCTCCCACTGAGGATCTCTAGACAAACAACCCCAAATCCAAACACATCTGCCTTTTCCGTCAGATGCCCTCGAAAAGCATACTCTGGTGCTAGATAGCCACTGTAGAATCAAGTGACAGAGGCTTAGTTGAGGTCAACTACAGGTTTGGTGGTTTGGCGGATTAGCGAGCAAGCTTTATGCAGGTTTGGGGAATCCAAATATAATGATGTGGCAATTGACACCCATACTGAAACTTTGAAATCGTTTGTGTTTCATAAATGTCAATAGAAAGAAAATACAATGCAATCAAATATCTATCATGTCCAACTAACATGGGGTGATGACAACTATTGATGATAAGTGTAAACTTACTCGACTAAATAAACCTCTTTTGTACTTATGCATATGTGTATGTATTTGTGTTTACAGTAACACCGTAACACAGAATATATGAAACAACCAACGTAAGAAGAGTAATGCTTAAATGAAAAAAAGGATGATCCAATGAGCTTACATAGTCCCTGCAATGCGGGTACTGATATGGGTTTTCTTGTCATCATACAACTTGGCCAATCCAAAATCTGATATTTTAGGGGAGAGCTCTGAATCAAGCAGAATATTGCTAGCTTTGACATCTCGGTGTACAATTCTAGGCCTTGATTCTTCATGGAGATAAGCTAGCCCTCTTGCTGTTCCTAAGCATATACTGAAGCGTGTTGGCCAGTCAAGATGCAAATTATCATTCCCTGCAAGAATTATTCAGAGATTTAACAAGGAAAAGGCAGATAGACGAGAACCAAAAAAAGGAAACATAACACTTCAAGGATTTTTGAAGGATTACATAAATACAAATATAGGATTAATGACAGACATGTCTACCACAAAAACAAAAACAAAAAATTTTGTTAAATTACCTGAAATAAAAACCACATAAAAATTATCAGGATAACACCATCGCCCTTGTTCGCTTTATTTCATTTTTAAAGACAAAAGTTGATTATAGCCAAAGAAATTGAATTTTTACAATTATTGGTCTCATCAGTCCACATATGAACGAAGTAAACAATAAAAAGGAAATTTAAGTTCTCCATACCAAAAAGTGCCTGGTCGAGGCTGTTGTGCTCGAGGAATTCATAAACCAAAAGCCTTCTATTTCCTTCAATGCACCATCCATACAGCTTAACAAGGTTCCGATGTTGTACAGCAGAAATGGTAGCAATTTCAGTTATAAACTGACTTTTCCCTTGATGTGATCCTACTGAAAGTTGCTTCACAGCCACTATCCTCCCATCATTTAATGTTCCCTATAAAATAATAAAATTCAGTTAACACTAAAAAAATCCTCTTTTTAGTCCATAAAAATGGGAGAATTAAAAAAATACCCAATCTTCCCATCAAGTTGTTGAGCAAGAATCATGCATCATCTAACTTTGATGCAAAGCATAGATTACCTTATAAACAGGTCCAAATCCACCCTCTCCCAACTTGTTTGAAGGACTGAAATCTCCTGTTGCAGTTCTCAACTCAGCATAAGTGTAAGTGCTTGGTCGAGGGCCTATTCCAAGAAGGTCTGCGGAATCATGCAACAAAAACATAATAAGATCATAAAGGTAATAGCATGAAAAACAACTGTGAGGTATACTTGATCTAATTCTTGTAAGTGCCATCAGAAGAAATGAGGTCATTCTCGGGTACATAGTCTAACTTGGGAGAATACCTTGCATACTACCAGTTTTCAGTTCCATAAATTACCTATCATCAAGGTAATAGCATTAAAAAAAACTGAGGCATACTCAATCTAATTCTTCTAAGTGCCATCAGAAGAAATGAGGTCAGTCATGCTTATTATCTTATTAATTACAATAAGTGCTTAAATACACTCGAGTACAAGATATTAGGGCTTCAAACATGATACATTTACAAGTTCTCTTACACTACCTAGTATCCAGCATTTCAAAACACCAATCATTACCCAAATTTAGTAGTTGTGAATGGGGAACTGAGTTCATTGACGCTAATATATTTTCTCAGGTTCAATTGTTGTTGTTATTATTATTTTCATTGTGTTATTGTTGTTGTCGTATAAGTTTTGTTATTATCATCACCATCATCTTGCAATACACAAGAGTACGCTTGTTGAACTTGGGCTTATTGGTCTTCTTGGACTCTTACGATTGCAGTATGATGTTGGGTAAAGTATGATTAAAATATGCATGTATCCCCTTGTATGTGTTCATATAAATAATAAAAAAAGAACAGTAATAACAGAAGCAGTACAAGTTTTAGTGTTAATATGTGCATTACCTTCCTCGTCCTCAACATGTGACCCTTTCTTTTTCCAGTATAAAATAGAAAGTAACAATATTATGCTGATAACTCCAACAGGAACCGCAACACCAACAATCAACCCAGTCCTGTTTTTCTTTGATTGAGTTGTTGGAGGTAGCAAAGTTGTTGGAGGTAGTCCACTAACAGTAGGTGTAAACTCTGAGCAAAACAGATATTAATCACTTATTGNCAAAGTTGTTGGAGGTAGTCCACTAACAGTAGGTGTAAACTCTGAGCAAAACAGATTAATCACTTATCGCTGGTCTATAGCAGTAGAGAAGGGCATCTAAACATCTTGTATTTGAAAGAGGGAAAAGAAATTCATGTATATTTATCTATATAATATATGTGTAATAATCATTTTACTTAGGTTTATTACTTGAAGCAACACTGAGGGCTGAAATCAATGGTCCATAATTGCCTTGCGCNGCATCTAAACATCTTGTATTTGAAAGAGGGAAAAGAAATTCATGTATATTTATCTATATAATATATGTGTAATAATCATTTTACTTAGGTTTATTACTTGAAGCAACACTGAGGGCTGAAATCAATGGTCCATAATCGCCTTGCACNAAAGAAATTCATGTATATTTATCTATATAATATATGTGTAATAATCATTTTACTTAGGTTTATTACTTGAAGCAACACTGAGGGCTGAAATCAATGGTCCATAATTGCCTTGCGCAGGAATGCAACATGTACCCTTCCCAGCCCAAAATAGATGAATTTCAAGATAATTCTGGGTTACAGTAGCATTGAAATTCTTCTGGACTGCTGTTTCAACCCCACCTGCCTCCTTTGTTATATCAAAGTCCTTCAGTTGGCGAGTCCCCTGAAGAACCAGTCACGCGGAAATTCAAACAATTGTCTTAGTATCAGCATAATTTCGTTTAACTCCAATACTAGAAGTAAATGCAAGGGGAAAGAGCAGGCTTCAGACCAACATCATTAAATGTTGAGTTTTGTGGCATAATTACCTGAATGTAAATATCAAAAACGCGCCTCCCAAAACTCTCCCATGTACGTGTGCTTCTATCACTAAAAATAGTCTCCGCAAATAGCAGACTTACATTGTAATCTCCATTTTGTAGTCCTAAGCCATAGTATCTAAGTGAAGCCGGAGACATCCTTGAAGTCTGGAAAAGCTCTGGAGTGCTGGTGCTCCTAATTTGTGCCAAGGTGTTCCTGGTATATACTGGATCACTTCTCTCGGAAAAAATCCCCACATTGCTGACTGCCCATTTTTCTGTACTAACCATATAATACGACGNTCCTAAGCCATAGTATCTAAGTGAAGCCGGAGACATCCTTGAAGTCTGGAAAAGCTCTGGAGTGCTGGTGCTCCTAATTTGTGCCAAGGTGTTCCTGGTATATACTGGATCACTTTTCTCGGAAAAAATCCCCACATTGCTGACTGCCCATTTTTCTGTACTAACCATATAATACGACGCCGGGCCAAGGGAAGTAGAATTTTCAGCCTCGTACAATATTCCCTCAGCAGATCTCCTCGCTGGACCACCGCAGTTAATTGAAAAGTTGGCATCTTTGAACATAAATATAAAACCAGCAGTCATTTATCATCATATGTATTGAAGATATGACTATGATGGTTGAGTTTTCAACTAATACTTTTCAATAAGAAAACCACAACCTTTCCATTAAGATGCTGGACATGAAGGAAGATCTCAAAGCTTCTCAGGTGATGAACATCTAACAATCCCAAAGAATAACAGAAAAATAGCAGACACTTTTCTCTCTGTCTCTGAAAACAAGGCTTCATTTCATTTTAATAAGGCTTGAGATGGCAAGTACTAGATTTGGTGCATACAAATAAAAATTCTTTTAATTTTACTTATGTAGGTATTTGCCTAAACCTCTTGATTATGTTTCCCCTTCTGAACTTTAATTAGAGGGAAAGTATTGGCACTTTTCAATTTAATATCCCGCAAGAAGTTAATTTTGGGATCCATAAAATGTATTGGTTGAATGAATATGCATGTAGCCAAGAGGGGTAAAGCCAGAATTTATGTAGTGGGGAAGTGGAAGGCAACTACAAGAAGGAGAGGGACAAACTCCAATACTTTTAAAAACTAAATGTAAAGGGATGCATGGGCAAAAACCTGCCCATTGACCCTTTCAATTTCTTCATGCATCTTGCATTCACAAAGCAGGTTCCAGTCTACCCAGACAATATACATACAGACATGTACATATATATACTCTCAGTCTCAGATAATGTTATGCAACTTTAAGTTGCAGAGATAAAATAACAAACAAGTAATAAAGATAAAATAGAGAAGCAGCCCTCATTACTCTACGTTTAGCACTGCCCAACCAAATATTTGAATTTGCTAAGAAATTTGGTAAAATGTAGTGGCAAAACGAAATTGTGCAAGAAGCCAAATAAAGACAGAAACTACTACAATGCAAAGTGACTTACAACGTGGACTACCCCTGTTGCAAGGAAAGTCTCTCTGCAGACAATATAATCCTGGCAAAACACTGGAAGCTCAAAGAATTAGCATTAAATTTCTTTATTTACAATGTAAATTTCAAAAATGAATGCATTGAGCTGCAGTCAGAGAAATGTGGTCACTTTGCCTAGCACCCATGCTATCTCCCAAGAATGGCTATATGGAAAAAGAAATGAAAACAAAATGACTCACTTTCTGTTTGTGCTATCCAATGTGAAGTTGTTGGCCACTAAATTCCTGTAGTATAATTCAAAAACGTCAATGGTAATATTTTCAAAGATGAAAATTAAGAAAGCAAACTCAGAATTATTATTTTTTAAGGAAAGAGGAGCTATTTTAGAATAAATAACTAGCTATTATTATTTATTTTATTGCATTGATCAGAATCCTACAGCTTAAGCAATATCTGCCATTTTTAACTTCCGTATGCTTAAACAGGAAAGAGTACACCCATGAACCATTGTGCTGGCATGAGTTTGGTTTTCACTTTTCAGGTTGTATAAGGATAGTTAGCATGGGATCTCAGAAACAAATGAACTGGGATTCTTACATGATCAATGAGAACGTGCAAAACTACAAGCTTTGCTCCTTGCTAGGTTATTATCACATTGCCATAGCAACACATACAAGNGTTAGCATGGGATCTCAGAAACAAATGAACTGGGATTCTTACATGATCAATGAGAAAGTGCAAAACTACAAGCTTTGCTCCTTGCTAGGTTATTATCACATTGCCATAGCAACACATACAGGTGTGGTAATGTTACACTATACAAGAATTCTATTTCAATCCCAATAGACATATTTCTCTTCCTTATAGGTTGATCCTAGGTGAACATTACAGGCAATAATTTTGTTTAATCAACAGTAACATTTGATGAATACTAATCATATTATAGCCCTGCACATCAATAAGGTGTAAGAAAAGAAATGAAAGTTTATACAACTAATACAAGGCCTAGTCCTTCAGAGCAATCTGCTAAGCGATCACAATGAAGATTATAAACAATCATGCATCATGATTTCATAGACATACACTTGCGAATTTGGTGTTACCCAAGAAGGCAAATTTCCAGATAGTTCATTGTAGGATACATCTCTGCATTTAAAAACATATTAGCAGGAATTTAGTGAACAAATCATGCAAAGATAAATCAGAAATTGATAAATGCATCATAGAAATCAGAAAAAAAACTAGTATATGTTCAACAACCACGAAATGCCTTATTTCACTTACTTATTGCATTTCACCGACGAGAAATCTACCATGGGTCATGGGTGTAACTAGATATGACAAGAGGGAAAAATGACTTCTAATCGCTTGCAAAGGATTTATTATTATCTATCCCCCTTATATGCCCATTGCCATAATCTTTCCTTTGATATTTCTCAATTTTCAGTAGTTACATGCCACATTACTTCAGGACCGTCTTCTCTTTCCCATCTATAGCAATAACTCTCGGGAAGAAACAATTTTTTAGAAGCTAGATATCTTTAAAAGAAGTGAAAATCACACAAATTACCCTTGAGATTTGCATTTATTACACTTCACCCCATGATTTTAGAAATTGTAAAAAACCTCTTCAGATTTTCAAGTCGACTTTCAAGCAACTCCATCTAATTATGATTATTATTTTTTTTTTTAACAATGCTACAGTTGTAGAGGAGGGAGACTCCAACTCACCACCTAAGGATGCCGCTTTGAGGAACTTTACCCCCTTAGATCTAAGTGCATCTAATTAGTTGACTATTACTACTAAAGTGAAATGACTTCTCAAAATTCCTCAACTCTTTATACCAAATTTTAAAATTTATTTTTTTACACCCCAAAAAATAAAATTTAACAAAAATATTAGAAAAAAAAAACTCAAACCTCTCCTCTGCAACTTAAATTCCTCCCTTCCCCTAAACCCCTACGACCTCCACCACGAACTCACACTTAAGCAACACCACAAGTCCTCTTGTTGCTATTATGATCAACAATTATTTTTATTATTTTTATTTTTATTATTTGTTTAGATTAAGAGTTAATTAGGAATATTGTAGAGTTATTTACGGCCTCAACCATGTCTACTTTTCTAATTCATTAGACATGTGTTTTATTATTTTAGGTAACTTTCTTAAAGTTAGGAATTTGTTTTCTTTTTTTTTAAACTTTTGGATTTTGGAGTTCCTATAAATTGTCTTATGTGCTACGATTCTATTCAGTTGATTGAATAATACACATTTTTCAAAGATATTCTCTCTCTATGGATTCACAGCATTTGATCTATACACTTAGAATCGTAGTGTTTTTTGCGCCTCTTTGCTCCGTTGCGTCACATCACCACCACCTTCAATCTAAATTCAATTCCAATTTGTGTTTTTGTGTGTATGCGTGTGTACAATATATTATGGTTTAAAATTCAGGATTCAACCACTCTAAATGTGGTAAAGGGTGCACACCATTTACCTCTTCAAAATTATGCAAGGCTCTTTATATACCTCATAGGACTTTCACATATATATATATACACTAGAGGCGGCCTGTGCGATTTGAACACCTCATTCCCTTTTCGTCATCCTTCCCTTTCCTTTCTTTTTTTTTTCAGTCGTCATCATCCTATTTGAAAAGTTAGATAGAAAATTGTAAAAAATTAAGGTGATAAAATAATTATGGAAAGTTAGGGTGGAAAAACAATATTTTTTTAAAATTTTAAATTAGTGGCTATTTTTTAAAAAAGCTTTAAATGAGTGGTAATTAAGTAATGGAGTAGAGAGGTGGGTTATATGAGACATGTATGATAATACAATTTTTTTAAAGTCATGTGTGATAATTAAATAATTGAAAATTCTAAGAAAAAAATGGGAGGGAACGCTTTCCAAGTTACCTCCAACCTAATTTGATGGTTTTATATACATATATATATATATATATATATATATTGGACATGTGGCAGGTTGCACGTGCCGAAAAGAGTTATTTGTAATGACTCTACTATGACCGAGTAAGTAGTTAGGCTATTCGGGCCGAGCTAAAGTTGGTCCGACCGANCCAAGTTACCTCCAACCTAATTTGATGGTTTTATATACATATATATATATATATATTGGACATGTGGCAGGTTGCACGTGCCGAAAAGAGTTATTTGTAATGACTCTACTATAACCGAGTAAGTAGTTAGGTTATTCGGGCCGAGCTAAAGTTGGTCCGACCGAGCAAAGGGCAAGATCCGACTGAGTAGATAGATAGGCTATCTCGGTCGAGCTAAAATTGGTCTGACCGAGCAAATAGCTAGGCTATCCCGGCCGACCTAAATTTAGTCCAGTCGACCTGAGGATAAGATCCGACTAAACAAATACCCGAAAAGTCAGAGATGGTGTTAGGCGACCAATAAGGAAATCGCCTAAATCATAGGAACACATAATTAACATGTGACCTAAATCAACCAATGAGAAAGAACACCCTATAAGGGTCAAACATGAATTAAGGAATGAAAGATTGAAATTTAGGTGTGCCACCATATTCTAAGGAGAATGGTAGTCCTGAATGATCGGGGACATGCTCCCAATAAATATTAGTAAAGCTTAAAGTCTAAGGTACGCACTCTTTGTCTAGCAAATTGAATACACTTTTTCAAGTCATTACTGATTTAAGTATCGGAGTGCTTCCGGTTGGTACCCCATCGATCTATGACAGTTTGTTTCTTTTGCAGGCTAAAGGCGATCTCGAGTACTCATCCCAAAGCGAATCTCTTTATTTTGATAGGTGCGGATTTTCCCCCTTACAATTGATGCTGTTACAATTGATGTTGTCTATGGGAAACGATAATCAAGTTTATTTGAGTGCTCAGGCTAGTCACTGCAATGGGAACTGCGCAACAGTAGAGAATGCAAGAATAATGTACAAACCTATTATTGTGTGAACAACACAAGTTGGTGATTATCTCGCGAACGTGTATTTCAAGAAAGGCAAAGAGAGATCATGTGCTTTCTACCTCTCATGGTGGACGTCGGCTCACGGAGCAATAGGGGTTATGTATCTTCACGTGGAAGGATCATAAGGTACTTGTTGAGGCTACTTGTTCCAATGGAATCAATTTTCATGCAACAAAATCGGT